ATCAGTACCTAGGAATTTTAGTCATTTATTTTAAATTTGTATCATTTAAGAAATTTTTACCTTCAACATGGGCTAGTCATACAAGAGAAAATAAAAAAATAAAACAATACTATACATATGGGAAAATATATATGAAGATAGAATMGTAGATGTATGCTTAAWATTATAATATCTAACTAACAACAGCAATAGTTATAAATATTTATAATTTGAAACATAGATATAAGCATTATTTTAAATTTATGTAATTCACATTTAACATGCATTAATATTAGATGTTAAAAAAATAAACTTTTTAACAAATAAAAAAAATAAAGCATTTTTATTTACAGTTAAATTGATATTGCATGTATATTTACAGAAATAATTTATGTGTCATGTTAGTTTCAGTATGATTGGTCAATGGCTATGTTATCATACATTTCTTATGACTGATAAAATATGGGTTTTTATTATGAACTCAATTAATATTTTATGTTTATTGCAAATAGACTAATTACTAATAAACAATAATTTATGGATTTTCAATGGTTAGACTATTTGTATAAAAATGTAAAACAATTAAAATAATCAATAATATTGTTAATTGAATAGAATAAAAGGTTAAAACATTTTCAATTTTCATTAATAAAAATTATACTTTTTAACTAACTATTAATTATATTTATTTGTCGGTCTCAAGTTAAATATTTAATTGTTAGTCATTAACTGACTAATTTGTTTGGTTATGTYCACTAAATATCTATCTAATTAATAGTTGGTTATCTTTTCTACCACTAATAGTAAATATTGTAAATTATTCAGTTACACCAGGACTAATTTATGTATAAATAATATTTTTTGAATCACTTAAATAAACTTTTATATTTGATATGTTTGGCTTGCTGATACTTTATTGAACAATTAGTGCAATACAGTATATTTCACATATTAAAAATACAATTCAAAAATCTCTTTACAATACAAGGTTTTCTAGTATATGTCTAATGGGTTTCTTTCAAGATAAACTCTATTTCAATGAATTAACATACAATGATTCATTATAGTAAAATATATCTGTATTAACCTATCTAGTTAGTTGCCATTTATAAAATGTATTAAAAAAAATATTAAATAATATCTAAGAGAACTGAGAAGCTATAATAACTATTAAAATTAACTGTCACTTATGCAATCATTCATATCAGAATCCACAAATTCCACATGAGTAAATGGAAAATGTCCAGTTTTACCATTTAGCTCTCCTTCCCATTGACCATTAATATTAGTTTTTGTGACTTTGATTATATCTCCAATTTCAAGTTTTAAAGCTGTTTTATCATAGGCATTTGGTACACGAACTTGTTTAACTCTAGCTAGAGCTGGTAATTTTTTCTGTAAAAAAAAAAAAAACAATAAATAAATAAATAATTTACTTTTGTACTGCAACTTAATTGAAATAATAACATCATTAGATATTCATAATTTATAACAAAAAAAACTATTATTCATATGATTTATAAACACTAATGTTATTTTAATGGATCTGAATGATGACCTAATACCATAAATTACATAATATTCTCTGTGCAATAGTGAGTCTATTGGATTTGATGAATTATCTGGTATATATTTATTTAACTTTGTATGTATTTAACGTGTTATCTCTTTTTATTATGGCTTTTATTCTGACTTTTCTTGGTCAATGGAATCTATAATGATGTATGGAAACTAAGTTCAGTTACTTCAATACTGAAATCGAGGAATGCTTCAGTAGTCTCCAGTTACTGGCCTATATTGTTGCTATATCATATTGTGAAACTTTTTGAATCTATTGTATTTAAAATTCAAYGAAGTGTCAATTGTTAAACCAAGTGTTATTAAAGAAACAACATGTATAACAACGAGGTCGTTTATCTACATTATGAAATGTAGTCTTAAGTAATTATATATTTGAAGCATTCAAAACTCATCCTCAAGTTGATGTGATCTTTACTGATTCCTCTATAGCTGTTGAATATATCAATCATGATGAAGTAATTAATGTTTTAGGTGAACCACTTTTGTCATGGCTTCATTCTTTTATTGGCGGCAGAAAACAATTTATTAAAATGCATAGTATCCACTTGAGATATACTTTGCACTATCTCTAGTGTCCTCCAAAGAGGTMACCGTATCCCCTGCTTTTCTATATTTTTAAATAGTATAAACTTCATATTAAAACACGTCTGGTTTCTGGCATTCTTGGATGATGTAACAGTATTTTATTGTACCGACTGCCTTGTTCTTCAAGATGAATTAAATAAAATTGTTCTCATAGCCAAAACCCTAGGGTTAGATTCCAATGTTTCCAAATGATATTTTATGACTTTTAAACATCTCAAATCCCTGGTTAAATTTAATGAATTTGAATTGGAACAACTTTGCAATCTCTTGATAAATCTGTCACTGATCTAGTTTTGGTTCTCAATTAGCCCTAATGAACATATTGAGCAAGTCTGCTATAAATCTCTTAAAATATTAGGTTTTATTAAATGTATTACAAATTAGTTCAAGCTAGTATCTCCTTTCAAATCCTTATACTGCTCATTTGTTAAGACTAATTTTTGAAAATGAATCTGTCATTTGAAGCTCACATAATGTAGTTATGTTTGAGCAAGTATAAAGTAACTTTTTGATGTATGTATTTAAAATTGAATTWTTTTATCTCAATATGGTTACATAGCAGATTTTGGCATTTTGCTAACCTTAATTTTCTTTTAAAATTATAAAACTAGTAGGTTGACTCATTTTACCTAACTCTA